CTTATGTTTTGGCTCCCTCCCTCTCTAACCTTTTTTTTTTCCTTCCCCTCCCCCATGGACTTCTGTTAAGTTTCTCAGGATCCACATAAGAGTGAAAACATATGGTATGTGTCTTTCTCTGTATGACTTATTTCACTTAGCATCACACTCTCCAGTTCCATCCACGTTGCTACAAAAGGCCATATTTCTTTCTTTCTCATTGCCACGTAGTATTCCATTGTGTATATAAACCACAACTTCTTTATGCATTTGTCAGTTGATGGACATTTAGGCTCTTTCCATAATTTGGCTATTGTTGAGAGTGCTGCTATAAACATTGGGGTACAAGTGCCCCTATGCATCAGCACTCCTGTGTCCTTTGGCAAAACTTTCCACAAAACTAGAAAGTGAGAAATGCTTGAGAGAAACCAGCTAGCAAGGGGCGGGGGAGAGGTCTCCCCAAGGACATGGAAATGGGTAAGAGGGACTCGAGGGGCATCTGGAGGGGTCAGTTGGCTGAGCGTCCAACTTCGGCTCACGTCATGATCTCTCAGCTTGTGAGTTCAAGCCCCGCATCGGGCTCTGTGCTGTCAGAGTGGAGGCTGCTTTGGAGCCTCCGTCTCCCTCTCTCTCTGCCCATCCCCCATTAGCAATAGCCACCCCCCCCCCTTAAAATAAATAAACACTAAAAAAAGAAGGGGTGCCTCTTGGGAGCCCACCAGACAGTCCTCAACAAGCAATAAGGCAAAGCTCTCCTGGCACACAAGACCTCAGAAAGACAAACAGAACTTTAAAAAGGAATTCACATGCCTGGCTAAGTGGGCAGAAAGTAAAGGAGTTCATTCAAGGCCAGAGATGACCAGAAAGGGAACCAGGCAGGCCTGCCGGCCCTGAAGCTGGGTGTCCCAGGGACATCTGAGAGCCTCTGGAAGCCGCTCATGAGCAAGGCAGGCGTCAAGTCCTGAGGAGTGGGGGTCAGCCTGGAGGCCCCTGAAAGGGGACATCTCCAGGGATGAGCGGGGTTGGGGAGAAGTCCACTGAGGATGTCATCGGGATACTTTTCACACTCTGCCTTCCCTCTGGGGATGCAGGAAGATGCCTTCATGGGAATTCTAACCACAGGCCTCCCTGGTGGGGATGTGGGAGACGGTTCACAAAGAACTCTCTACATGTGGGGTCCCAAAGCTCCAAGCAAAAGACTGAATCTGGGGGGCCCTGTGTGATCATGTCCCCGAGAACTTATGTAGGCAAATCCGGACTTTAACCCAGGTGTCCAAGAATTACCACAGATAAAGTTGCAAAGAACATGCACTCGTAATCAAAAATCACAAAACACACAAAGCAAGTCACTGTGAGAAAGTCTGCTGATATGGCAATGTGCAAATCAGAACTTCAAAGACTGCAGATATTAGAGCTTTCAGATAAAGAATAAAAAATAATGTGTTAAAAGATACAGGAGAGCATCGAACACATTGATAAGGAATAAATAAATGTGGGAGAGGTGAAAGCATTTTCTTACAGAAAAAGGGTAAAATTAGAAAACCATTACTGGCTGCTAAAACCTATGGCTGGAATTTTAAGAGGAACAGGGTACTTACATATCCTTAAAGTACGTCCCACAGCGCGCTCACCACAAAAGGAAAAACGGAAACATTGCAGCGGATAACGGCACCTTGACCCCAGGACCCCAGGCCCAGATGATGGGCGCCTGACCCGGCACTCTGAGGACAGCACATCACATCTGCACTGCTCCCGCCGCCAGCATACAGCCACGGCAGTCATGAGACGTGGTACGAAACAGCATCCTGTACTTTCAAAGTATGTCAAGGTCAATGAAGGGCAAGAGCACAAGGAACGGTTCTGGATTAAAGGCAATAAATGACTGTCATCCGGATTGCTCCATGGGTGGGAGCAGAAAGCACTGTAATAGGAATGACGGGGACATCGGTGTCGTGCGATGATGGTCTGCAGACTAGATACTATAATTGTATTAACGTTCAATTCCTGATTTTCCTCATTGTACTGAGGTTGTGTCAGAGAACCTCCTTGTTCTTAAGAAATGAAACCTGAAAACATTCTAGGTAAAATAGTACAGTCTTTAACCTACTCTCGGGTGGTCCAAAAAAACACAACACGACTATGTGTGAATACAGAGAGAGAATAATAAAGCAAAGAGGGCAGATGCGAAATACTGGTGAAGTTGGAGTATGTAAGGGAGGTCCTTGTGTCGTTCCCACATCTTTCCTGTGAGCAGGGAATTATATCGACATAAAATACACAAAATTTGTAACAGACCTGGCCATAAACTGTATCAGTACCTTAGAGGCTAGGTTCGAGAAAACCACAGTGAACACAAAGGGGAAGAAGTAGAAATAAAGTCAAGAAAAGACAGAAATATGCCACTGCCATGTGACTGGCATCCTGAAAGTAAAAGAACAAAATAACAGGATCAAAAGTATAACAGGGGAAAATATTCCTAAAACTAAGCAAGAATGGAATCTGTAAATCACAAGGAACATTAATCCAGAGAAGAAAATGATGTAGAATAATTGACCAAGATGTGTATGGCTTATTGAACTTTGAGGACAGAGAAGGCGTTCTGCAGGCATCACGGACAAAAACACGTCCCTGGAGATCAGGGAGATAACCAGGCAGTCTGAGACCTCCCCACGGGACATGTAATTCCAGAAGATTGTAAAGATAGGTTTGCGATATTCTCAGGGAAAACAAGTGACTTGGGATTTTGGCTTTCCAACTGTCTTGCAAGAAAAAATTCACAGAAAGACATTGTCAAGCATGCCAGATCCCACAAGGAAAAGCACCATGAGCCTTGGTTTACAAAGTCTGCTTGCGAGGGGTCAGGGACGGGGGGAAATCTCCTTGATTGTGAGATCCAGGCAACAAACAACAAACAGATAAGTAAGAAGAGAGATGACCTCATCTATGAATAGAGTGAAGGTTAAATATCTGTGGCTATTTAATACATGTGGACCAGTTACAGAAGGTACATGTTATAGATTTGACAATGTAAAAATAGCAACATAACAATTTAGAGCACAGATGACCAGTTGCACAAGTGCACTAATATTCTTGTCTTTCTTCACCAAACAAACATCAACAAACACTGTCTAACATTGATAAAGAGAGAAAGGTTTAAGCATATTATTTAAACTTAATAATTTAACAACCTAGAACTAATAAATGAATTCAACAAGGAAGCAGGGTACAAAGTCAACAAAGAAAAGTCAGTTGCATTTCTATACACTAACAATGAGCGATCTTAAAAAGAACTTGCAAAAACAATTCCATTTACAATAGCATCAAAAAGAATAAAATAAGTAGGAATTAATTAACTTAACCAAGGAGGTAAAGCACTTGTACAAAAAAAACTACAAAACATTGCCAGAAGATATTAAAGAAAGCATAAATAAATGGAAAGCCCCTGTTCATGGATGGGAACACTTCCTATTGTTAAGATGCCCGCACTCCCCAAAGCAATGCACAGAATCAGAGCAGTCCTTATCAGAACTCTAATGGTGTTTTTTGCAGACACAAAAAACCCATCCTGGGTTATGATGGCTGCATAACATTATGATGTACTTAATATCACCAACTGTATACTTAAAGATGGTTAAGATGCCAATTGTATGTTACGAGTACTTTACTACAAAAGAAAAAGTTGAGGGGCGCCTGGGTGGCTCCTTCAGTTAAGCGTCTGATTCTTCATTTCGGCTCAGGTCATGATCTCACAGTTCGTGAGTTCAAGTCTCGAGTCGGACCCTGTGCTGACAGCGTGGAGCCTGCTTGAGATTCTCTCTCCCTCTCTCTCAAAATAAGTAAATAAACTTAAAAAAAAGAAAAGAAAAATTGAAAAAAGTTTAACCACCAGAAGAACTCCCACCTCCCACTAAAAACTACTATAACTCAAAAAATTCAGGAAACAGAGAAGAAAGAAAAGATGTGACTAGAAGCTAAGTAAGTTTATTTTCTCACCTCCATAGCAGGCTGTCAGTGTAGTGATAGAAACTGACAAATCAAATTATATATTTGAAAATTTGGATAACATTTTTAAACCGATAAATCAAAAACAGAAGTATATTAAGTTGTAAAGGTAATCACCAGAATACCTAAAAAATAGACTCTTCCATAAAACTGGAAGCAACCACATCCAACACTCCCACATGCCTGAAAATGGGACAAGAGTCCAGACATATTTGCTGAATCAGGAAATGCAAAGGGATAAACTCAACTACGAAAAGACAAAGACTTTCAGAGTGTGTCAGAGCACTCATGTGCTCATTGTGGAGAAATTCAAGTAAAGGTATCACTTGGGACAATGGCACCAGCTTCTAAATAACCTGGCGATGTTCGTGGGTGCATCCCGGAGTGCTGTGGGCACAGGGCTGACGCGGAAGTGAGGGCTCCCACCTTCGCCAGAGCGAGGCGCCCCCAGGACAGACACCAGAAGGGGCGGGGGGGAAGTGATGTGCATCCTCTCTGAGGAATTTTTACAAGACTGAATGTCTTCTCGGTCACAAAGAAAACTTCTGCAGTTTCTTTTCCCCAAAATGATAACAGCATGATCTCATCTAAGCCCAGACACTAAAACAGCAGAAGAGGAGGAGCGGGGCCCTGCCTCGCAGACAGGGCTCCAGGCCCGGGTGCAGGTGCTTCCAGCACCCAGGCCTGCTCTGAGAGCATCAAGCTCGCTCCCATCCCCCCACCAGCCCCTCGCTCGGGAGCGCAGCCCACCAGCCTGATGCGGTGCTCCTCCTCCAGGATGAAGAGATTCTCCTTCTTGCAGTAGAAGGCAGCGGCATCCAGAAGGGCCTTCAGAGGCACCAAGCCCACCAGCTGTGAGCCCACCACCGGAAGGCTCAGCTCCTGCAGAGGTCCAGCAGGGTCGACGCTCAGAGGAGCCAGACTCGAGACGTCCCGGGACCCGCCCCGCTCAGCTGGAGGGACGTCACCCCAGCCACCAGGGGACGCCCACCCCACTCACCTGGAGGGGCTCTCGTGGCCAGCAGGGGATGCCCGCTCTGCTCACCTGGAGAGACTTCACCCCAGCCAGCGGAGGACACCTGACCCACTCACCTAGAGGGGCCCCCACGGCCAGCAGGGGACACGTGTCCTGCTCACCTGGGCCTCTCTGCAGGTCTCCTCATAGACTGTATGCAGTGCTGTGACCTCAAAGTCCAGGAGGTTTGTGGATACTTGGGCCAGGTTCTTCTCATCCAAGTACCAGCCAATGCCCTGAACCTTTTTCAGGCGTCCTGGCTACAAAGAAAAGACTTTCCCAGCACAGGCCCTGCCTGTCCTCCTCTGGAACCTGCGCTGAAAGCCTCTTGTACCTGCACTCCCTGCTGGTTGGAGGGCTCCCTCCCTCCGCTGATACCGTGGCTTACAAACTGTGTAGTGTGGAATGTGTGTGAGGACTGTGGTGAGGACTGTGTGGGGAAGACTGTGTGCTGAGAACTGTGTGGTGAAAACTGTGTGGTGAGAACTCTGTGGTGAGGACTGTGTGGGGAGGACCGTATGGTGTGGACTGTGTGGTGTGGACCGTGTGGTGAGAACTGTGTGGTGTGGACCGTGTGGTGAGAACTGTGTTTGAGGTCCCTACCACGTGCTGGGGACCTGCCTGGGGTCACCCCCACCCAACCCCTAACTCCTGTGTTTAGTCCCTTCCTGCCATCCCACCCTCACCCCAGAGACTGGCTCTCTGCTCCTCACTTCTTGGGGTGGCTCAGTCTACCTAAGAAGGACCTTTGACCTCTGAATTCAGCAGGAGCAGAAAGAAGGATTTGGGGTTTGCTGTGTGTGTTGTGCTTCCATACTGCATCTGCAGGCTGGGAAGCTGGGCTCCTGGGGCCTCAGCTGTCTGGCGGGACCCAGGTCTCTGGAGGTTGGGGGCTGACAAGCAAGCAGGATGTCATCCTCCACCTCCTTCACCAAGGGTCGCTGTGTCTGTGTGTCCAACTCACACTTTCTGCTAGATCAAAGCTCAAACTAGGAGACAGTCGCTGTGGCGGACATTGTGGGTCAGGACACCTGGGACACCTGGAGGTATGCGGGGACACCTGGAATTACCTGGCGCACCTGGGGGTAGCTGGGGCACCTGCAGGACCTGGGACACCTAGAGGCCTGTGGGGGCACCTGGGGCTCAGAAGCGTCTCTTCTCCTACTAGAAATGCTGCAATATTTTAACAATAGCTATACCCCTGACTGATTCCATGGAAATGTCTTTTAAGGCAAGTGTTCCCCAACTTCAAACACTGGAACCCCCGCCTGCCCCGTCCCACTTGTTGGGGACACCGAGGCTGGGCTCTCAGCAGGTCCATGCCACGGCACCACCCTGCCCTGGCTCTCTCCCAGGAGCCCCTCAGGATTCCCCGGGGACGGTGCTGGGCCTCTGTGGGGACAGCAGGCTGCTCACCTTGTCCTTCCCGCGCCCTTGCTCCCGGAGGTTGAGGGCGATGCGGTGGGCCTGCTCCTTGGTGCTGAGCAGGTTGATGTTGAACGCAATGAGGAACTTCCGTGCCCCTGTGACAGTGGCTCCCCAGCTGGGGACGAAGGAGCTGGGACCGAAGTCAGGCACCCACTCGGCCTGCTTGAGCTGTGGGAAGACTCTGCCTAGGCTGCGGTGTCCCCCACGGGAGAGGCGCCCCGCCAGGGTCGAGGAAGGGGAAGGAGGAGGGGAATCATCCCTGCCCACCCTGGAGAGGAGACACGCACCTTCTCAGGGAGGGCCTCATACTCCCCGGCCCGGATGGCTGGCAGGGTCCGACGACCCGCTGTCTGCGCCGCCTCCCCATAGAGGTACACTGTGAGGGAGACTGGCTGGTCAGGCTCCCAGCCAGGGGCAGCCCAGAACCCCCACTTCCAGAGGAGTAATGAGGTGGGCCGCTCCTGCCAGCCTCAGCCCGGAAGACCAACCTCCCTCGGTTCCCCTCTCTGTGTGCCTCACGGGTGTGAGCGCTCACTGATGGACACTCAGTTTGGGCCAAGACCCCTCCCCTGCTGCTCCCCACTGCACAGATGTCCCCCCCAAAAAAACCATCACAGAGATTATAAGAGAAGTAGATGTGCGGGATGGATGTTCACGTTTCTTTCTAAAATGTATTTTCATTGTACCATAAATATGACCACAAAGTAAGAATCATAAAGAAAGGAAAACAAAAGTCACCACAAACTCCCAAGATCCATACCACAACTGTGACAGCATGGAGCGCACTGGCCCATATCTGCACGGGGTTGGATTTGGGGCCCTGCACTCCCGCGTCCATCTGCCCATTGGACACGGTCTGCAGACCTGTGCTGGGCCTGCACTCTGTTTCCGACTCATCTACACTTGTTCTAGGTTAATTTCTTGTTTTGTTTTGTTTTTCCTCTAGAGTTCTATTTCTATTCTTGTATTCAGAATAACCGTATCCGTTACCTCCTGTGTTTTACTTCAACTGCACTATACTTGGAATGTAGGTGTACCTGGAAGAGTCAGAGTACATCAAAGCGACAAGAGTTTTGAAAATTACAATTAATGTTTCAGAAGAAATCCACCCAGGTTTGCATGTTCTTCATCTTTACATTAAAAGGAGGAAAAAAGCCGGGATTCTTGGGTGGCTCAGTCAGTTGAGCGTCTGACTTCAGCTCAGGTCATGCTCTCATTGTTTGTGAGTTTCAGCCCTGCATCAGGCTGTGCACTGACAGCGTGGATCCTGCTTGGGATTCTCTCTTCCTCTCTCTCTGCCCCTCCCCTGCTTGCTGTCTCTCTCTCTCTCTCTCTCTCTCTCTCTCAAAATAAATACATAAATAAACTTAAAAAAAGATGGAAAAAAAGCCATCCTAGCCATGCTTCACAATTTTTTAATTTTAGTGTTTATTTATTTTTGAGAGAGAGACACAGAGAGAGCACGAGGAGGTGAGGAGCACAGACAGAGAGGGAGACACAGAATCCGAACCAGGCTCCAGGCTCTGCGCTGTCCAGAGCCCGATATAGGGCTGGAACCCACGAACTGTGAGATCATGACCTGAGCTGATGTTGGATGCTCAACCCACTGAGCCACCCAGGTGCCCCAGCCATGCTTCACATTTAATCAGATTCTTCTATATCAATGCATAAAAGGTTTGGAACAAGTTGTTCTTGACGAGAAATAGTTCATATTAGAAAAAATTAGAATAAGAGCCTAACGTTCAATTTTCTAGGTTCAGAATGTCTGAGAAAGCATTTTCAACTACAAAACTTTATTTAACAAAAAAGTTCAATATGAAAATGCGCGATCTGATTTTTACATTGTAGGAAAACAGGTGCCATAGAGAGGGGGTGTGTGGAAGCTGCTAGTTTCTTCCCTTGAGCACACCCACTGTTTATGCTCGTTCCAAGGCTCCTAACACGATGACATGGCTTTCTGGAATTACCGCCATTCTAATGTCGTTCTGTCGCCCACTAGTTGCCATCACCACACATTCATCTATCACAAGATTCATGAAGGGATCAACCCCCCCACAGTTTCCTTGGGAGTGTCTGCCACCATTTAATTTCAATAATAATTTCTTGTCCATAAATTTTTCCAGCCCGGTGGGGGGAGCTTTGCTCATGGCATCTACTTGGTGAGCTCAGACATGCCACTCAAAGACTTGGGTGAGTTCCCCAAAGTGAGACGATTCTATTAGCAAGCCCGGACTGGACTTCACAAACAGCTAAGCAGTGTCCGCTGCCGGGCAGCACGTGAGGGCCACTGGCTCCCTGTCCCCGGGTGCACTTGGTCATGGTTTCTATTTGTGTTTATCTCGTTATGGAAGAAGCAGGACATTTCCCTGTAGGTCAGTTTGCAGACTTTTTTGTGTTAAACTGCATTTTTAAGGAGCTAAGAGCAGAGAACCATGAGGGTACTGAAGTGCAGTGAGGGACCAGCAGGGGGAACCCCAGACATGAGCACTCACCCGGCACACCCAGTTCCTCCGCCAGTCGCTGGCCAAAGGCCTGGGCACAGAGCACACACTCATCCATGGTGACGCCCCTCACCGGGATGAAGGGGCACACGTCCAGGGCTCCCATCCGAGGGTGCTCCCCTGCAGAGAGATGGGGGCTGAGGAAGGGGAGGCCAGGGGTGGGTGGCTCCTGGACCCCGCACTTTCTGCCCCCAACCTGCCCTCCATCCACACACCCAGCTGGTCACGCTGCCCCACGGGGAAGCAGCGTCTTTGTGTAAACCCCTCCCTCTCCTGAAAGCCACAAAGGTCACTGCCCAGGGCTGCCAGGCTGAGCATTCAGAGTCCTGCCTGGCTGGTCTTGCCGCCCAGCCCTCCCCGCCACCCCCCGGCCCTGGGCAGCTAGCAGAGCGTCCTTTTCAAAACCAGAACCCCCACTGTGGGTCAGACAAGCTGTGGTCAGCAGCCCCCCAAGATGATGAGCCCCCTCACCCGCCACGTTCCCCCACCCCCCCCTCAGGGAGCTCCTGGCTTTGAGATAAGCTTTCTAACTTTACCAGTTGGGATCACTTGTGGATTCCCTTCAAGTGGGGCCTCACCTTCCCCCACTGTGAGTGGCCAGAGACCCTGCCCTTTTGACCAGCTCCCTGTGTCCACCAACCTTTGACCCTGCCTGCCACAGTAAATGTGTTTGCTTTTGCAGGCTGTTGACAGGCCGGTTTCCGAGTCTTTGCCTCCCTGCCCCCCAAGGCCCCTAGGCCTGAACAGAATGCCACAGTTTCACCGCCACTCATGCACAGGGAACCCCCAAAACATGGGTGGAGGTGCCACGGACCTTTGCCCGGCACAACACATTCTGTGTCCCGGGGGTCCCCCAAGGGTAAGCTCACAGGCCATTCGGCCCCTATGCCCTGAGCCAAACCCTGTGGGTGAGGACAGACAGCCTGGTGCTCTGGCCCCTCACCTTTGTGCTGGCTCATGTCGATGAGCCGGAAGGCAGCCCGCGCAGCATTGAGGGCCCCCTCCACCACGTCCTTGGGTTGCCCTACAAAGGTGTAGACGGTGCGGTTGGTGGAGGGGCCCGCGTCCACATCTAGCAGCACACAGCCCGGGGTCTGCGCCACGGCTCGGGAGATGGCGTCAATCACCTGGGGATGAAAGTCCGACACTGTGCCTCGGTTTCCCCACTTGGAAGAGAGAACAGGAGCTTCAGAGGTAGGCATGCCTTTCCTGCCACCCCAACCACCACCCAAACATGGGCCTAAGGAGCTGGTGCCGAGCATTTGGGAATTCCTCAGAGTACAAGCCCAGAGAGGCCTACCACCGAGCTATGGTTGCCAAGAAGGGGGCAACAGGCGGCACCCTCCAAGAGAAACCGAGGCAGGAGTCAGAATCCGGATGGAGGGCTTGCTGGGGCTCCCAGAAGGTGACCTATAGGCCAAGGTCACAGAGGTCAGGGCCCTAGCTTCCCCACGCAGCCCCTAGTGGGAGCATTTGCACTAGGGGAGGGCCATGAACGGCCCAGAACCTTCTGAGGCAGCAGGACAGCCCAGTGGTTGGGAGCAGGGGCTCAGGGCCTAAATTGTTCCGTGGCCCTCAGTGGCCTGCACCAACTCTCTGTGCCTCAGTTTCCTCGTGGCTGACATGGGGATAATGTCAGAGCCCACCTGATAAGGTTTGGAGACCTTCCAACTTCCCTGTGACGCAGACCCAGGTCCAGGACCCCTGCCTGACTGCCCATCCCACAGTCTCCTCCTCACCCGTCAGCCACTTCTCTGTCCCAGTGCTCATGGGACCCATCCCCGCGGGGCTGACAAGAAGTGGTTCTGTTTCAGGAACCAAGCACACCCCTTTCTCCTTGCCCCGGGCCACTTGCTTAGCCCCCCCCCCTCCCCCGGCACCTCACCTCCTGCTTGTTCCCCTCGGAGAAGTTGGGAACACATTCCACCAGCTGGGACATGGTCTGGGCCTCGATCCCGGTACTCCTCTCACGGGGCAGACCGAGGGAAGGAGGGACGGTGCTCTGCAGTGCCTGGCAGGGCCTTTATCCACCTGGCGGGGCCCTCCCATGGGGGCCGGGCTGCTTATTAACCACAGGCTGTGGTCCCTGCGCAAACGCAGAGCGGCTGGGAAGGGAGCAGGACCCCTGTGAGCCAGACAATGGAAAGGGAGGGATCCCCATACCCAGCCAAGAGCAGGACCTCAGCAGGGGTGGGGAGTAAACCCTCTCCAGGCAGTGGACTCAGGCCAGTCCAGGCTCCAATCCCAGCTCGTCCCGGCGCTCCTGAGGACTGTCTGTGTGGTCCTCCGTGTGAGCCTCCACGCGACCCTCCACGTGGCCCTCCAGGGGACCCTCCATTTGATCCTCTAAGTGACCCTCCATGTGGCCCTCCAGGTGACCCTTCACGCGACCCTCCATGTGGCCCTCCAGGTGACCTACTGAGCCCCGATTTCTTCACGTCAACTCGTCAGCCTCAGGCAGCAAGCAGATGAGAGGGATCGTGTGTGAGACGCCACCAGTGGACGAGGCTCTTGGTGGAGGGCAGCTCAGCCTGGCCAGGCAGGAGAAGGGCAGGGAGAGATCGAGTGTGTGCACATGTGCGGATGTCCTTGGGGAGCAAGTGCTCACGACGAAGTTCCGGCTCTCCCAGCCGCTGGCTGCTGTCCCCCGAGGCCAGAGGCTCCCCACAAAGAAGTGATGTGCTCAGGCCAGCAGCCCAGGGCCCTGCACCCAGAGGGCCCAGCTGGAGTCGGTGCCATCTTGAATGGGGTGGGCACTTCCAGTCTGCAAAGCCACCTCTCGTGGCCACTCCAGCAGTGTACAGATACCTCAAACCTGAGGTTCACCTCTGCCCCGCCTCTCAGGGCACTCTCAATCCCCCTGCAGGGACCCCCCCAAAGGCAGACCATACCCCATCTGCCTTCTTCCCGGGCATAGGCACCCACACAGCCGTGGCAGTGCAGGGTAGCCACAGGGCCCAGGTGAGGAGATGCCCAGATCTCGTGGATCCCCAGCTGTGTGGGCTGCGGGACCCCACCCCTCCAGCGTCAGCCCTGGAGCAGCCAGGTGAGCCCAGAGACCCCGGAGGCTGGGGGCGGGCCAGACCATCTCCAGCCACGACTCCCCAGGGTGGACGCAGACGATGGCTGCTCCACTCCCGGGTCCAGCACAGTCACAGGGGAGCCCCAGCAGCACCCGGCAGACAGCAAAGACCCAATAGAAACATTCCTCCGAACCCGGCTCCTAACGCCAAGGCTCACCCAGAGAGAGCCTGCATCCCAGAAGTGCCCACCACCAGTCCCTCCTCCAACAGCCCAGGTGCCAGACCTGTGTGTGCCCTGCAGAGACCCCCAAAGTCAGAGAGTCCCTCAGCTGGGGGTCGGCGTCCTGTGGCTGGAAGGGGAGGATGGCGTCAGTTGTGGACTGAATTGTGCCCACCTCCAAAATCATAGGTAGAAGCCCCGACTCCCCAGCACCTCAGAATTAGCTGTATTTGGAGACAGGGTCTTGAAAGAGGTAATAAAGCTAAAATTATGTCTGTCATAGGATGACCCTAATCCCCTCTGACCGCTGTCCTGAAGAGGAAATCAGGACACAGACATGCAAGGGGACAAGCATGTGAGGACCCAGGGAGAAGGCTGCACCCACACGGCCAGGAAAGGCCTCAGGAGGGACCAGCCCTGCCACCACCTGGACCTCAGGTGTCCAGCCTCCAGCACGAGGAGGAAATAAATGTGTGTTGTCCGAACGCCCCTGGTCTGTGGTGCTCGTTACAGTTGCCCAAGCTGTGCCCTAAGGTGCTGGACACCTGGGACACCAGAGGCTGTGAGGACCGAGGGACGGTCCTCACACCACCAGCAGAGAAGTGACCAGAGACCCTCTACTCACAGTCAAGGCCAGGAAGGTGCCAGCACCAGGCCCTGGTCCTCACGTGGGCCCAGAAGGTCACCTGTCCTGAAGACCCCAGGAGAGACAGGGAACTGATGGCTCCAGCAGGGGTCAAGGGGTGGGGTACATCAAATCATCCCAAATCAATAGCCTCCCAGGAATCCTCACAGGATGGGCCTGTGTGCATGGGCCTTATTCTCTATCCAACACGCTGCCGTCACCTTCTTGAAATTCCTACTTTTGAACAAGAGACCTGTGTTTTCACTTTTCACAGAGCTCTGCAGATTCTATTGCTGTCCCCCCAGCATCCGGATCCTTGCCTCAGCCT